GCCCTCGGCGCCACGTTTCTCAAGCGTGGGGCCACTGACATGCAAATGGCTGGGGGTCTTGTCTGCCGCCCCCCCCATGCCCCTCAGGAGCCTAGGAATCTGCATTGTAACCAGTCTCGGACGAACCCTGCCGCTAGAAAGCTGCTGCGTTCACAGCACTGAATAATCCTCGTCAGGAGCTGCCCAAACGTATGGAGCGTTTCCTTTGTGCCTTGAGCATTTGCGGGGAGTCCCGGACTCCTGGGTGATGCGAGTATCACCACATTTGTTCTGAGGGCGCTTCTGTCTTTTATGTGCCACTCAGGAAAAAAAAAACAAAAACAAAAACAAGATTCCTGTTAAACCACACCACCAGGGAACCTCGCCCATTTGACAAAACGGGCTAGTGCAGGCCCGTAATTTTTACAGACTGGAGCGTCGTGGGGAGAAGGTTCTCGCTGGCTGTGTGTTCAGTTGACGGTTGGATCCTGGATCCACAAACAAGCAAACAAAAACCCTCCCCTGGCGATTCGAATCTCATTCCCAGAGCTGATGCTCTCCTGACCTGCTAGAAAGAGCCGTGTGCTGGCCGGTCCTGCAGCCACCGGCCACGTAGGACTTATGAGCACTTGAAACGGGGCTGGTCCGGCCCGGGATGTGCTCTGAGGGCCAACCATACACCAGATCTCCAAGGCTTAGTATCTAAAAATTACTGTCATGTAAAACCCCTCGTTCATAGATTTGATGTTGATGACCGGCCCGTGGTAACATCTTGGATATATCCGGTCAAATAAAAACTACTGTGAACATTACGTTCACATCTCTTACCGCTTTTTAGAAATGAGGCTTCTGGAAAGTTTTAATTATACCGTGGCCGCAGGTGCGTTTCTACTGCAGGCCCAGCCCTGGCGCCTTCGCCACCCCTGTCCCTGCCCTTGCCCGGAGCGATAAGAACCCGCGCCTTTGGCGGGCCGCACAGCCTGACCCCTAAACACCACCCTCCTTAGCGTCGCTCTCCCTAAAATCACGTGGGCCACGAACATCCCAATTCACATTGAACCCCTGCTTCCGGAGGCGAGGCAACCCACCTCCGCCACCGGAAACCGCAGCGGGGGCGGGGCGGGCAGGTGGAGGCGCTCGTCCGGGGTCTCGGCGGTCAGGCCCTG